CTGTTGAATAAAGATGAGAAAGAAAATAACCTATGCCTAGTTTTTATCTACTAAATGGGAGGGTCATGATTTTTTTTCTGCTAAATTCTCTTCCTGACTTCTTGAAAGGAGGTGATCAGATATGACAAAAGGAATGTTTTTTTTCCCAGTATTTTCATGAAGAAAAGTCCCTATTACCATAAACTGCAACTGTTTTGCATTATAGTAAATCTATTTCAGTGCAAAGTATAAAATCACCTCTTCCTTACTATTGTAGTAAAATATATTTGGTTTCATGTTTTAAAAAAGGAAAAGAAACTGAAAAATTTCAGGTAAAGTCAAAATCAGGATTTTAATTTTTGCACATCCTAGGGAAGGAGGTGATGGCATTAATGATTACCAGTGACTCTACCCAGTGAAAGATTTAGATTTTAGGAGAGCTGGACTAGATCATCTCTAGAGGTCCCTTCCAACCTTAAGTATTCTGTGATTCTGTGATCTCACCAGTAGGTGGACATTTTTTTCTAACAAATGGTGAGGTATAAAGAAACAAAGAACAGCTTCGTGATTCTCACCCCACTTCCCTAAAATAGAGGGAGAATTTTTTCCTTTCCTTCCCAAATGCTTTCCCCAAAAAGATTTCTTTACCTTATATTTTCATTATATGCAATTGTCTCTTCTATTTATCTTAATGCAAATCACTCAATTATACAGACATGTATGCATGCATATACGCAAACAAAACTGGGCTGCTACCTATTTCTTTAAAGCAACGTTCTAAAAATACAAATATTTAGAGAACTTTAACTCAAATGCAAACATCATGGCTAGGATCCATCTTTATTAATTTAGTAAGAGTGCACGAAAGTCTCACTTCCTAACAAGAAACATATGGAAGGCTGCATATGTAAGTCACAGAAAATTATTTATGACTAAATACTACATGAGGGAAAGAAGTGAGGTAGTAAGGAAGTGATAAATTGGCCGTACAAAGAATAGGTTCCATTAACTTTTCCTTAATTTGTAGCTACAGAATAGGTAGGGGAATGGTGAAGGAGACAAAGCCTGAGTGAGAGCGCCAAGAGCACCTATGTGGATGCCAGCAATCTGGCAATCTGTATGGGTCCAAGCATGCTGAGCCCCAACAAGGGCAGCATGGTCCTGGTGGACGTATAGAAG